CAGGGTGGCTGTGAGAATTAAAGAATGTATTTAAGGTGCTGGCACAATGCCTGCCACTCAATAGACACAGCAAAATGTGGCTTCTTTATGTCTGATCATTAGCTAAAAAACTGGTGAAGACATCAACTGAATAACTAAGGTGAAATGAAGTATTTCAACATAGATCAATTCTAATACATTACATTGGTATAGGACTTTACAATTGTCAAAGCTCTTCACGACATTTTATATCATCTGATGCTCCTGCTATTTTCAGAACTGGCACTTTTACAGATGAGAAAACCGAATCAGAGGTTGCTTCTTGTCCAAGTCCAAACAGCTAGAAAGTGAGTGATCTAGAACCATGTCCCAGGTCCACTAATTCCTCCTCCAGTGTTCTTTCCAGCACAGTAGCCGCCTCTGTCAGTCAAAGCTGGGCATCTCTGACGTTGGTCATGATTCTGATGTTAGCCAAAAAGACTGTGTGCTCTGTTAGGAACACATGAACATTTTTCAAATGGATCAGGCTTACCCAGAGATGTAAAGAATTCTATTATTAGTAGTAAAATAAACACCCGAAGTTCTGCGTTAGTCATCTATTTCTTAGCGTTAAGAGAAAAATCATTTGTTTGCTCTACAAATATTTGAGCATGTGCAACAAGTGAGGTACTGCAGGTTAATACTGGAGAGGTGCTGTGTCTCATTCTCCTCTCGAAGACTGCAACTGTAATATTTTAATCACTCTTCCCGTTGGCCAGTTTCTTCTCATCATTCCCTTTTCCTTTGGATATGTCACAAGAAACTATGTGTCTTACAACCCTCCATATTCATTACTTAATCTTACCCAGAAACTTTTGAAGTGGTTAAGACAGCAGCCCAAAGACCTGCTCTTCTGAGATGTTAGGAGGCCCACCCGTTCCACATGTTCATCGCTTCCTAAGCTAACCAGATAGAGACAATCCAAATGTCCCTTAGGGACGGGGACTTGAGGAACAATAGTGATTTGTATCGTTCACTTTCTATAATCCAATATGGAGCCAAGAACTTCACATGTATCATCTTCAATCCAAGAAAACCTTTTACCACAGAATATTGTAGAAGAGAGGGTGGAAATTTTCCAGTTGGAGTTATCCATGGGGAAAACTGGAGTTTCTGGATATCTCAATTGGTTTTGTTTCTACATCATTCTCAATGTATTTCAATATAGATGGCAATGCATATCATTGATTGGGCATCAGCTTTTGAGTTTTAAAATGCTATATGAAGATACTGAGCTGGGCGTGGTGGCTCGCACCTGTAATCCTAGCACGCTGGGAGGCCAAGGTGGGATGATCACTTGAGGTCAAGGGTTTGAGACCAGCCTGAGCAAGAACAAGACTCCATCTCTACTAAAAATAGAAAAAATTAGCCAAGTGTGGTAGTGCCTGCCTATAGTCCCATCTACTCGGGAGGCTGAGGCAGGAGGATCGCTTGAGACCAGGAGTTTGAGGTTGCTGTGAGTGAGACTGATGCTATGGCACTTTAGCCTGGGCCACAGAGCGAGACTCTGTCTCAAAAAAAAAAAAAAAAAGATACTGAAATAAGCGTCTTTCTCCCATCAAGTCCTAGTTTAAAATTAAGAGCTAGGAATACATATTTTTTGCCTTTTGTTAGAAACATTCAGCTTATGCAGCTAGCCACAGTGTTTACTAAAAGAGGCAGAATGATCAATTTTGGTTATAGTTATTAAAAAACAAAGATAATTTATTGTAAATATTTCAATATAATCTATTTTCAAATATTGGCAAATTCATTATTTAAAAATTTTAAAACCTTCTTTCAAAATTAACTGCAAATGTACTTCATTTCAGACAGTAATTATATCTAAATTTCATTGTAATGCTTTTTTTTACTTCATTATAAAATTTTAAAGGTATTTTCTCTTATGGCTCAAATAGAAATTACGTGAGTTTTTGCAAACTATGTTGAACAGCACTTATCTCTTTTATGTAGTTCAGAATAGATGATGTTTATAAACTCTTCAGATTTATATTTTACTATGTCCCAATTTAATTTATATATTGTGAACAGTGCATTTGTTTTAATTTACTGCAAAATCATTAAAATCTTTAATGAAATAATGCTTTTAAAAGGTGTGGTCACCTGTTATGCTTTATTGTATAAATGATGGATTTTTGCATGTTTTTTCTACATTAAAAATGAATATAGTAATCATTCTGTCCCCAGTATTCACATAAAGTCTTAAGTGCTTTTTGAGGAACAAATCAGTTGTTCGTCAATCCTTTAGAAATTAAATCCCTAGTATTTTACCATCAGACTGTGAAATAAGGCAGCATTCAAAGGCGTTTCATGTTCTTCATGATAATCTAGAATTTTTATTTATTCCAGGTAACTTTGGACAATAGACATGATGAGATGTTTTCTCTTTGAATAAATAACAGTTTAATTACATCATTGAAATAAAATATACTATGGGCTTAATACATTGTAAATATTACAGAAGTACTACTTCGCTATAGTAATTTAATGACTGAAGCTACATTTAATAACAATCTTACCAGTACTTGTATACAAAGTATTATACATATCACTAACGAAGATATTGCAGCGGCTGCAACGATGTTACCAGCTCAACAAACATCTAACAATACAATATTCTTCTAAGAGGAAAAGTAATAAGGTTAGATTTACAGACAATAAAGAGTTGTTTTCCACGTTAGATTTACAGACAATAAAGAGTTGTTTTCCACTTGAAACATTGGAAATAAGAATCCAGATAATCTGGTATCTTGATTCATATTATTACAAGAAAAGGTTTCCTTTCTTGGGGAATCCGATCCCCAGTAGGCCTAGTATAGTAAGTTTACATGAAGATAGCTTTTAGGATGCCACAGCAATGTAAAGAAACTCTCCTATCTGAAAACTACTGATTAATAGGCCACTGCTTAAACATCTGACTTTTTGAAAACCTATTTACATACATTCAGCCCAAATCAGTAGATAGAATGTGTTGTCTATATTACAGTAGGCATTGTTAACATTTCATCAGAAGGCCAGTGCAAGACAATTGTTAATAGACACTGTCCAGCATTTAGGAGATTGTAAAATATCATACAAATGTACAGCTAGAGTATGAGAAATCCAATTTTGCACGTGATATTGGTGGTCCCTTTTATGGACATGGAATGGCAGAAATTAATCAACAGGACGGTAACTAGAGTGCTACTCATCCAGGGCCTAATTCTCATTTGGTGGTTGGGCATATTTCCTGTGGAGTGCGTTTAGGCAGCAAAAATTCCTTAACGTGTAATACCAGATAGTCCTTACTCAAGGGCAGGCTTGGGAATCATCTCAAGTGTAGGCAGATGTCTGCAGCATCTCCCAGATCCATATTTCTTTTACATATATTTCATATGTAATAAAAATAGAGGTTCTTGGAGACAGCCCTCCTTGTCTGAATGAAATTGTTAGTCTAGGACTGATTTATCATTACTCCGAAGAAACTGGCAGGTTGGGAATTTGGCCCTTTCTGAAGACGTGTGATGGCGGGATGCATGGTCAGGACAAACACGTTATCCTCAGAGGAAAGCAGATGCCTCTAATGTCAGACCTTATAAAACTTATTTAAATTTAAATCATATTTAAATTAATGGAGCTAATTATGGGGCTAATTAATGAATACTAACAAATGTTCATAATGATGAGTATATTAATTGAAGAGAAGGTTTTAGTCACTTGGGTTAGGAAATGATATGAAAAATGTTGAAGTGAATCCAACTAATTTTAAACATTTTTAAACAAAGGTAGTATAACACATACATGATGATATTTCACAGATATTTCTTAGAATATCAATAAGCACCAAGTTTAGTGCTGTCAGCCCCATTGTCCCTTAATTGATTATATATGATTTAGATCTTGAAAGCACAACACACTATAAAAATCTACATTGCATATGCACAAATACAGTTTCAAAAATGAATCCTGAAGTTTTTCTACCTATAACAAGAATTTCTTCTCCACTAGGTCTTCATAGCTGTGAGAAGAGAGTTGGTACTGCCTGGTGAGATCTGAGATGTGTGGATTAATACTCAGGGTGATGCAGGACAAAAGACTGGCAATTCTTAAATAGAAACTAGACTCTGGTGAGTCTTTTCATAAATAATCATCTTTTCTTCAAAGAGGTCTTATTAATCTCTAGCACCCTGAGCCCTCATCTGCATATCACAGCGAGGTAAAATGGGGGAACCAGCAGGCAGATTCAAGCTGTGTGGACGGACGGCTGACTGACAGGACTTCCACTTGGTCCACAGGCCTCACTCTGCCTTAGACCATAAAAGGGGCACTGCCCCATCAGGCTCCTTGGGTATTGTGAGAGCTAGAAATCACCAGACAGATGCTAGCTCTCCACTTCACTTCATGCTATGTAGGCCTCAGGGCCTTGTAGGAGTCATGATTTATCTGTATGAGGAGAAGAGATTGTAGGTAAAATTTGTCAGGGTCAAGTGGCTTCTTAAGCAATATCATTCCATACTGGAAAAGGGCCCAGCTCTGAGCACCTGTGGCATCAGTAAGGGGTACAAGACTGGGTCATAAGAAGAAACAGAGCACATCATCTTCATGCTTTCGCATATCTTGCTGGCCACGAGCAGAGAAGTCTATTCCTTACCCCAAACCCACCCAGACAAAGTGGAGCACTGGGCTGCCACCAAGGGCATCCGGGTGAAGCACAGCAGCAGCGTGTCTCCTAGGCCCCAATCCCAAGTGTGTCAGCTTGTTGCTGCCCTTTTCTGTCTCATCCACTGTCTGATTTGGCCTTTTTAGCCACATGGGCCAGTGGCTACAGTCCTACTTTATCGTGACGTGTACAGTACTACTTAAACTGGGATGGCATTACCTATACACACACAAGTGAAAAATGTTACCATTTGTTTTTTTGTTTTGTTTTGTTTTGTAGAACTATCTTCCTTTTAATGACTTATATCTCCATGAATTTGTTCAATATTGGGTGCTCAGAAACCAAAACACTCTCATTTCCCAATAATAACATTATAAATACAAGCCTTTTTTTTTTGAATGTCTGTCATTGATTATTCCTTGCTAAACACTGGTCTCATGTAATACCTAAAGATCAATTTAGTAATACTTGACCCAATCTCTTAAGGAGGATTGGGGATGGGAATTTTCTGAATGGTCATAGTCACTATTCCTGTCAACAAGATTTCTGGAAGAACTCAATTTTAGAAACTGAATTCATGTGCAAGAGTGCAGCAAGTGATACAGTTTACACTTGGTCACAGTTTTCTCACTTTATGACATTACTGTAACAGTTACAGGATAGAAATACACACATACACACATTTATATTCACATTCACACACAGTATAATTTTACTGATCCAGACAATACTTTTCAATTAAAAAAAACCCAAAAAACAGAAGACTGTTGTTTGGCCACCCAGGCATGAAATCTACTTAAACCTGGAATATAAGAATACAATACTCTTCAAGTTAACAGCAACTGCACAGTGGTAACAATATACATTAAGATTGACACATGCTGTCTTAAGAGATCCAGTAATAGCTAAAGACTAAAGAAAGTCAGAGATGTCACCCAAAAAAAGTCAATATGCTTTCTCTCTTCCTTTCTGATTGTAATCCATTACTCAACAGAACAGCTACAGTCCAGAAGATAATAAATGTCCTCCTATGAAAATGCAGGACTAATAAATTTGTAAGTGGCAATGAATTCTGCTCATACTTTGAAGTCTTCAAATTCTTCTTGTCGTATTAACAGAAAAATAAATCTTTATGGTTATTTCAGTGTCAAATAGAGATATCTGAAGAAATATTAAGGTTTCTAAAGTTGTATCATGGGCAATAATATAGAAAAAAAGGAGTCTCATTGGCATATATCCACTGCTTGTGTGTTCCATTGTTCTCATAAAAATCTACCTTTCAGTTTTGCTGAATTAGACAAATATAAATAACATAATATAAACATTGATACACATCTCACAGGACACAACACATTTTACAAAATATCTCTACTTCAGTACTATTACTGTTGTAAAAATGGACATCTCTGATACTATGGACAGATACATTTCACATTATAATGAAAGTTGTGGTTACAAAGGCATTACTCATTTGATGATATTTTTCTATGGGTACTTACACTTCAAATTGTGTAGCCAAAGGTTTCCTTCCTATTTCATGGAGACTTTGAAGGACCGTTCAGTCACTTAAGCAACAAGCTTTCTTCACTGTAAACCCCTGGAGAATGGAGTTTGAGTACCTAAACTATTGAAACATTAGCAAACTGATAAATGACCACGGTGACAATCACCTTTTCACTGAGCATGGTAAACTTAAAAAAATATAACCGATGAGACAATGGACTCTTCTAGATCTTGAGCTTTAAGGAAAAAAAAAAAAAGGATTTCTTTTCCTGTGCTGCCAGGGAGGCGTCAGGCTCACAGAGCCTCAGCAGACGTGTCTGTGGACACAGACATGGTTACCTTGGCGATCTTGACCGTGCTCTTGATGCAGCTCTCCGCAGCCCTGTGAACGCTGGCTGCATTGTTTGCGTGTTTGTGCAGGCAGTCCGAGTCCCCCATGCTGTTATCCAGAGGCTGTGCAGTGCCTTCACATGAGGGGAACATGCTCCGGAAAGCATGTCTCAGGTCCTTGCTCCTCAGAGCATAGATGATGGGGTTCACGGTGGAGTTCAGCAGGCAGAGCATAGAGCAGAATGCAAACACCGTCTTAATGAGCTTGTTCATCTTTCCGAAGACGTCATACACCATGATGGCAAGGAGAGGGCCCCAGCAGATGATCAACACCACCAGGATCAGGACCAGGGTCTTGGCTAACCTAATGTCCATGCGGGCTTGGTCCGGCCGGGTCACCTGTACTTTGCCATCCTCGGACGTGTGGATGATGATGCTTTTCTGAGTGCCGCGCTGAATCATGCGGACGGCGTGGCTGTGGGCCTTCCAGAGGATGTACATGTACGCATACACGATGAACAGCAGCAGCACGCTGGTGACCCCGATCCAGAACATCAGGTAGGTTTCATCAATGAGTGGGAAAATGTCTGAGCAAACTGATTTCAGTTTCTTGCAGTTCCAGCCCAGAAGAGGCAGCACAGCGATCACGATTGCTATGGTCCACATCAGGCAAAATGCCACCACGGCTTTGGGCCTGGTGACAATCCTCTTATAGGCCAGGGGCCTGTGAATAGATATGTACCTGTCAATGGCCGTGAGAAACAGGCTGCCCACGGAGGCAGTGAAGGAAGCTGTGACCCCGCCCAGTTTGAATAGAAACACGTTGTGGCTATCTTTGCGGTGGAACACGTGGAAGTCAACGAAGCTATAGACAAAAATGACGCTTCCCAGGAGGTCTGCCACCGCCAGGCTGCCAATGAAGTGGTAGGAAGGCCTGCAGCGGAGGCTGCGGGAGTGGAGGATGACGCAGAGCACCAGCAAGTTCTCCAGAACCGTGAAGGTGCCCAGGGTGAGGGACAGCACGGCGATGGCCAGCTGCTGGCTGGGGTTCAGGATCATGAAGCACTCCATGTCCATGAAGTTCTCCCCGCACTGGATGTTCTCCTCATTCTCTTTGTAGGATGAGAGAGACTTGTTGTAAAATTCTGTAATGTTCACCTGGTCTGCTGGGACCAACTGGGGGTTGTCTCCTGCAGTCATCTTTTCTTGGAAGGGACTTCCCCTAAAGGAAGTGAGAGGAAATTTCTGCGGGAAGTACCCTAATTTGGATGCCATGTCACCTTTGATGTCTTCGTACTGAATGTCATTCGAGCCCACGTAGAGGAGGTCTGTGGTGATGGTGCGGAAGGTAGTATCTGCAAGGCCATCTAGAATCGACTTCATAACCTCAGTCTTCAATTAGGCCAACCTCAAAATGACTGAGAAAGAGACCCGCAGGAGGGAATCCTAATAGAAGGAAAAACAAGTGCGCTGAATGGTAAGAAAACCGGGAGAATGACAAAAACAAAGCAACACATTGTAAACACTGCAAACGCATAACATCATGGTAATTCATTCCTGTCTCTGAACGAAGGTCAAGTCCTTGTCAGATTCAGTCAACAAAACGAGTCACTCAGAGAAAAGCACCCCAGAGTTGGGGGATGGAGTGGCATATACCAGAAACATACAATTCTTTCATTATTCAAGCTCTCTGGATTGAAGTCACTGCGTGAGTCCTGTATGGACCTCCAGGGTCGACGTGGGGGCGATGTATATTTCACCGCCGTGTCAGGAGTGCTTACCACCCGGCTTGGCTTCTATCGTCACATATACACAGCATATTAATGCTAGGGGGTGCTGGGGAGAGCTGATGTGTCACATGGCCCCTGCTCTTGAAAACTTTACCTTGTCAGACAGATAAGACCAAATGTCAAAGACAACTGAAGAACAAGACCATGTAGAATCAGGTGTTGTGTTGTGTGGTCTGTGTCTGTAAAGGAGGAGGAGGAGGAGGAGGCTAGTGGGAACAAGAGGCAGCTCCAGACCAGGGAGGGAACATCTGCTCCACCAGGCAAGTTTCCCCACCTAGAAAAGGGGAGGTTTGGCCTGAGCTGTAGCTGAGACGAACTTCTAAAATGTCCACACCAACCAAAAAAACGGTCACAAAGGCCAAACTTGCACTGAGGCTTAAGGGAAGACTAAGATCTTCACCACTGGGAAGCAGTGATGATGGAGGCTGCTTCCTGATAGCACTGGCCACAAGGACAAGGGTGGGGACACAGCCTGCCAGGTGACAGGAGACAGGCCCAATGGCATCCCAAATTTCCATGAGAACAACCAAGCCCAAATTTGAAGGGCTCTTCAATTCTAAAGCTAAGTTTGTTTCAAAACAAACAGCCAGAGAGCTGATCTTAGTATTTATAAATGTCTGTTTAAAATATGGCTATTCATTTCTTTAGTTTATTAACAAAAATTAGAAGTACAGAGTGATAACTATAACAAAATAATCATAAAAACCATTCTTCATTAATTGTTGTTTGTTATTCCTAACATAGCACACTGTATGGGAGAGGGGGAAGATCGTCATTACCTTGGGACAAATTAAAAAGTGTTGGGTCCTTCTACTAGAATACAGAGATACTACCTATTTGAATTAATAATTTGCTTATCAATGTACATGAAGTATCTGGTCTAACAGGGAAGACAGACAGCTGACCCCATATTTAGGAGAAAGCATGGAGACTGCTAAGACTGGAGACACATGATGCTGTGGGAGCATCCAGGCTAGGAGGATGGAGGCTTCCCCAAGGAAAGGATGTTTATGCCAAGAATAGGTAGCATTAGCATGGGTGGGGACAGAACACAAAGAAAAGATTTTAAAATTAATATCTTAAGTATCATGATTTTTTAGAAGAGTAATTTGGGACAGGCATAAAGCACTGAATGTGGCTGCCTTCCCATCCCCTGCCAGGCGCCCACCACTGTTCATCAGAAATAGGGCACCTGCCTCCTCACCAGTATTCTTGCCTTTCTCCGGTCCTATTCCCTTTTGGTCACTTGCCACCAGCTGCTGGAGTGATCTTCACAAACATATGGCTGATTAAGTGACTCCTCTATTTCTCCCTCTTTGCCCTCAAGGACAAATACAAACTTTCAGGCAGTTTCCCATTCAGGCCCATGCTCTCCGGACACACATGCAGCTCTTGTCTTCGCCTCCATGCTCCAGCCCAGCCGAGTGCCTTTCCAATTCTGACCCTTGCTGTCCTCCCCAACCCTCTCCACATTCTACTCTTCCCAAGCTGGAAAGTTTTCCACCTCCCACCAACACACCTACAGGATGAAGTCCAGTAAAAAGCTTCCTGTGATCCAGCCCCTACCTACCTCTTCAACCCACGTCTCGCCATTCCAGCCTTACCACCTGGGCCACATGAGATGGATCCTAGTTCCAGAAACACATCAAACATTGCTTTCACCTTGATGCCTTTGCTCCCACTGCTCCTTATACTCCTCTGTCCAAACACCCTTTCTCTCCCTCTGCCTGGTCAACTTCTCCCCATCAGTTCAATGTCACGACTTCCTGTAGCTCCCTGCTTCTCATGGGGATGAAGTATCCTCTCTGGGGCTCCCAGAATACCTGAATAGAGTACTACAATGGCACTTACTAAATTTTCTAATATTTCTCTGTGTTTGCATCTGTTCTTCAATAAATATTGTTATCATCATTACTTAGTACTATGGTTCCCTGTTACATACTATATACTAATTATATTTCAAGAATATATCATATATACTAATTATTAGAATATATACTAATAATTATATCTCAAGAATATTCATTGCTTTAATCAGATCATAGCCTGCTTATTCAATTTCATTTTTGTCTCAGCACTGTTAACATGAATCAAATAGAAGGTACATACATGGGTGAAGGAGTGGTAACCTTTATTGAATGTCTATTATATTCAGGAATTTGAGAAACTTTACATACATTCTGTCACTAAATTGCCATGGCAATCTTATCAGGTGCTTATTTATAATTCCCATTTCACAGATGAGGGAATGGAGGCCATTAAATGTTAAGTAAATTGCCCAGAATATGACAGATTTGCGAGGAATCCATGTTTCTCAGACTTCAGAGTGTTTTTAGACATTGTGTGCCGTGTTAAGGATTAACAGTAATTAGATTAAAGCCATTTTGCATCTTATATTATATTCGAGTCTTCTAGCCTCTTAAAAACATAAATTAAGGCATTTTGCCAATAGTAATTAAGACTACCTCCCACTAAATCACTATTTCCTATCCCGGCCCATCTAACCAAAACTGCCTACGTGCACGGCCCCAAGGATTAAAATTTTAGTCAGTATTTGGAAGAGCTATAAAGCTTCTTCAGTAAAGACAAAGGATCACAGACCTTATTTCAGTAATGCAAAAACATGTGTTCCTGTGATTTACTCTATATTAAGATCATCACATATGTGATCAGAATTTCCCATTTTAATGCAACCAAGCACTTTCATTAAAACAAACTAGCCTGTTAAAATCTAAGCCAGGGCATGGTGTGGTTATAAGATAATAGAGCAATTTCTGCCCGATATAAGACAAATTAATTAAAGAATGTAGTTTTAAAAATACATGGATTTTGTGTAGTTCAAGGATCTTAGTAATGTCAAAATAACACTGTGCACAAGCTATTTTAACAGTTAATAGCACCATGCCAAGAAAACTGTTCTTGATAATTCTTTTCTTTATTTCCACTTTGGATTGTTACAGTAATTTTCACATTATTTTTTGCATTGACATTTTTCTTTAAGAGTTTATTAATAATATAGCTTAGGTTTTGGGGATGTGGCTGCCATTAATTTTGTTTTTGTTTGCTACTGGGAAAATCACAATTGGAAATTTCTAGCAAGATGTGTAGATGCACCTATTAAAGAAGCAGTTGGTTTTTATTATCATCAAAGAATGACCGAATGACATTTAAGGGAATTTTCCTGAAAGTTTGCTTTTAAAAATATACCCAACATATTCTAACAATTTAAGCTATATAAACCATTCTTTCATAGTATCAATAATAAAAATATTTTAATGTATGTAATCTATTATTTTTTTAAAATCACTTCAATTTTTAGAGTAACTAAAAATCAACTACTTTTTCTGTCCATCTCTCTATATGCAAACCTGTCTCTCCATCAAAAAAAAAAAAACCCATATATATCAAATACTACGTTATGGTATCATCAAAGGAATTTTATGGATATGGCAGCTGCATAGCTTTTCTTAAAAGATGTTTATCCAGAGTCTGTATCTTTATTTCCATTATGTAACCATTAAGGGTATAAAACATCCATGTTTCTGATTAGGCTGAGCATGGAATAAGTCCTCAAAACAAAGCTTCAAATAGAATTAGAGCCATTTCTACATAAGTATAATTTAATAGCAGTTATTTTAGTCTTAGCTCCACCGAAGACCTTCTTTTAGTTTTAGAGAGACATTTCAATAATTTAAGTATGTATCACTTGCATCTGGAGTCAAAATCTTTGTGGTTCTGGCCAGCGGAGCACGTCTGGTGGAACAGACAGCAGGCTGGTATTTGCTCCTTGCAGGATGTGACGCCCAGGAAAGCAGCAAACCCTCCAGAAGCACCAGAAAGACTGGGACTCCCTGATACAGTTATAGACTGCATTGGCCCCCCACACTCCTTCTCTAATATTCTAAGTTTATTAATGCTTTAAAGAGAAAATGCCAAGCTCATAGCGTTTAAATTGATAAGTGTCTATAATGTCAAATGCAGGAGTTCCAGGCCCTTGCTTAACTTTGTTGTTTTCCCAACGTTGTTGGTTGTCTGTTGTTCAGCTTTGCTGGACTCATAAAAGAGCCTTATTTAAAGGTTCAAGAGAATGAAGGTCCCCACGGATATGTGTTTGTTATTTTCCATTCATTTCTGGGAACAAGTCTGGTTTCTACTAATTTGATCAAGAAAAATACCTTGCTAATGCATTTCTCTAAAGTTAGGAGGGAAAATTTTAGTTGACTCTTATAACTACATTATATCTAAGTCATATCCTCAATACACATGGCAGATCTCACAGGCCAATATTATAACTGGGTGAAAAATGTTTCTACTTTAGTTGAAGGGGCAATGAGTCTTTTCTAACTCTCACCTAATCATTACAGTTTTGGAATTATTAGCATAGTTTGGTCACTTTTTGCATCATCTTCTATAGCAAAGTGAAATAAAGAATTGACTTAATTATCCTGGCAGTTCAGACAAAAATATATCATGTTTCTTCCTTGTATTAACATCAGTTTCTTTTCCTATATATAAAAGAAAATTCTATTATGTTGGTAATGCTCAGTTGGCTCTCAAACTTTCATTCTTCATAAATTTTATAATATAAAATAGAAGTTATTTAATACATCATTTCTCTGGTCTATACTAACAATGTGAGTGTTAGATTTTTCATAA